TTAAATAGTGAGAGAGCTACTTCTAAAATTGTTTGATTTTTGTCCTTTCAAAAGAGGACAAAAATTCCATTGAGGGAGAGCATATATAATTTTTAAAAAGCTGGGATCCAGGGAATTAACTGTAGTTGAATAAGGTCATTGATAAACTATTTTCCATTACTGTTGGTGGATATGACAAAAAGGTATTTGAGCTTCAGTTGCAGCAAGGAAGGTTCAAGCTGGACATTGGGAGAATTTTTCTAACAATGAGGCTATTGAAGCAGTGGAATAGATTGCCTAAGGAGACACTGGATTCTTCATCATTGGAAGTCTTTTGAGGACAGGTTAGATGGACCTCTGCTGTTCATGGTACATGTTTAACTGATCCTACCTTGAGGTAGGAGAATGAGCTTGATTCTCTTCAGCCTGACTTCCTATGATCGTAGGAGTTTGTTTTACACGGGAGATTAAGAGGATGAGGGAAGAGGTGCATATGTGTGCAAGGAAAAGGATGGAACAATTCACGGAAGTACTTTTATCTAACACGTGTATTATGAACGCCTCAGGGTCATGTTTCTTTTCTCGCTCCATGCTCATTAAAAGAGGAAAAAAGGAGGGAGAAAGGGGAAATCTTTCTCTGCTGAACAGAGAATTACACAGTGTTTTATATCCTGACAGACTCAACTAATGCCAGGTCTAACATCACAATGAAAAATTAATTAGAAGCTTTTGCTGGTATAGTAATGCCACCTGGAGAGTGATATTTATGTGGTATTTTTATTCTGGCAAAAGCATTAACGTAGGTGGAATCATACCAGCAAAGAGTGCTTTTTGTCAGGAGAGTTAATTTTGCTTGTGGAACTGGCAAAGCTTAACTGGCAAAAAGTATTCCTTTGCACTCCAAGCTCCTTGTACTGAAAGATTTATCAGAGCAATTAAGCTTCAGAAAGTAGTTGATGGTTTGAAATACACTGTGGTTTTGTTTATTTGTGCGGGGGGAAGACAGCAAATGCTTTTTGCATTTGTTTAATTTGATTATTTTAAAGCGTACCGTTTGACAAATGCTGGGTTTGGGGTTTCATGCAGGAGCTTTATAATAGAAGAGAGGAGCTTTATGCCATGTGAGGATCTACTTTATGGCAGAATGTCCTTCAAAGGATTCAATCCAGAAATTGAGGTACTGTTTAAATACTCTGTTTTGAGGTGGTCTCACATTAGGATTGAAGCCCTTGGGGGCGGGGATTTGAGTGTTCACACTGCATGCTGTTCGGCCTTTTTAGCACCTTCCATAAATCCTCCCGCGTACAGGAAATCCCCGATTGAAACCAAAATGTTGATCAATGCAGCATCTGGTAAATAGAAGCTTTTTATGTCCTTGTGTCGATGGTTGGTAATTGCATGACTCCTGCAGATTTTCCCTCCCTGAAGTGAGGAAACTGTTCCGCATGCTGCTCACCAAAACAATAGCTCACTTTTCCTCCTGCCATTTAATTTAGAGTGTAATCCTACAAACATTCAACACTTAGTTGTGTAAGTAAGGTCTTAAAGTTCCAAAGTAAAAATTCTGGACAAGAGAGTCTTTAATTTCTTTCTGGCATGATTCATGCTGATAGAACTACAGTGAGATAGTAATAAAAATGTTACCACTGAACTGAAGCAAGAGGACGAAGGTGTAAAGACTAAGAGGTATGCCAAAGGCTATGCGAGGTGATGTACTAGGGGATTCTTTTAGTTGTTTTGAACTTGCTCTCACTGTGGCTTGGAATATAATTGCTTCATGTTTTTTACTAGTAGTTTATTCTAAATCCTTGCAGACGTGGTTCCTTCTTAACAAAAGCATTTCAAGGACTATGTGCTAACATCACGATGAAAAATTAATTATGATCTAATTTCTAATTCTCTGGTCTTCTGAAGATGTCTGGCAGGCATGCCCTTGAGGATGTTTGAATAGTACAATTCACTGAAACCCCTGTCTCTGTGTTGCCTCTTTTCCCAAAGGCAAACTCTAAGCTCTGCTCAGCAACAGGCAGGCATGTGGCCTTTTCTTCATGAGTTTTCGTAACAGTATGCTCTAGCCTGACCAGGGAACAGCAAATAATTATTAAGTTTGATTCTTACCTTTTATGCATTTCTTCTGCCAGTGAATTTCAGCATAGTTGTCATTATGTCAGGGTTACATGTTTAAGCTATTTCTTACTTCATTTTCAGAAGTTAATGATCCAAATGAACTCTAGGTGCAAGGAAGAAGAAATTGAAGTGGATGATAAAATGGAGGCTGATGTGTCAGATGAAGAAATGGCCAGAAGGTAAGTTATATTTTATGACATAATCAATATTAGCTAGGAATATGATATGTTACTGCATTATGTGTGGGGAAATAAACCCAAAAAGCCAACAAACAAAATAAAACACACACACCTCCCAGCAGAATACAGTACTTTACAGAACTGATTTTCCAGGAATTCTGGAAATCTCCAGTGGAAATTCAGTGGAATCTCCATCACTTTTGGGGGCGAAATATCTCATAGGGGTTTTCTGCCCTTTGATATCCAGGTATTCCATGCTAATTCCCTCCCTGTTCCAGATTGCTAACAAACTCAAACTATCAAAATGAATAATAATGTAATAAGTGATCATGTAGTACTTGTGCTTCTTAAGCTTCTGATGACTGGCTTTTTTACACCACTTAAATTGTTGATTAGATTTATGATTTGCTCCATTGAAGTTTTCTCTGGTTTTAATAAAAGCTGTAATTTTTTTATTATCTTTACAGATATGAAACATTAGTGGGAACAATAGGGAAGAAATTCTTGAGAAAAAGAGACCAGCGCGTACTCCAGGATGAAGATGAAGATGGGAATAGTAACACAAGACCTTACAAAAAAGCTAAGAAAAAGTTCTTAAAACCTCAGGATTAATGTCCACTGCACAACTGGAGCTAATAGAAATGTTATCTACCAAATATACTACCATGAACTGGAGATTGTTTGGAGTTTTTGCTATGTAATGTAAAGGATAGATTTGTAAATCTGAGTCTGTTCGCATTGAAATTTCTACCATCCACACAGCAAACATTTTTCAAAGTGGATGTGTATATAATGGATGTCATACATCCTTTCCTCTCTCAGCAGCTTTTAATGTGTGGGGCACTAATCCCATCAGCCTTTTTAAATGTTGTGCATAATTAGATCGAGTGTCACATGCAGTCGAGAGCAACATTGTTTACGATTTATGATAACATCTGAAAGAAGTATTTAAAGACGAGCTTTGTCCAATCCAGAAAGGCAGTTCAGCTTTCACTGCATTTTTTAGTATGAAAATGAAAACCTTTGCTGTCTTCAAATTGAAAAAAGTCAGCAGAAACACGTTTTGGGTTTTTTTACTGTGCTAAAAATAAGATGGAAAAAGAACACAGAGATAAAATCCATTTTGTTGAATTTTATTTTTTAAAAAGCTTATTTAAAAATAGACGGTTTTATAGTAAAACTTTTTTTTATAGAGCAAGCCAAATATTGGGCAACGTTTACAGTTTGACACTTGAGCAGATTGTGAGTATTAATTTCTGTCTTCCAAAAGAAGTTTGCTAATCTTGTCTCTCTTTCAGAAAAAAAACCCTCAATCTTATAATTATCTAGGTCTTGTTATAAAAGCATAATAACGGCTTCAGAAACATATTTGAAAGCTGAATAAAAACTGATTTTTTTTTTTGTGGTTAATGACTGTGGTTTAGCTAATTTAATGTAAAAAATCATGCTTAATACAGTCTGATGTAAGAAGTGATCCTGTTTTGTGCTAGCCACAGATGTCCCCAAATATTAGTTGACTGCAGTGACTTTTTCTGTTTAGCATGCAATGAAGCCATCTGAAGTAATGTTAGGATGGAAACATCATGCCCTCAGGTCAGTCAGTGCTCTGAGCCTGTTGAAAAATGTCAATGTGGTCTTGTCTAAAATCATAGCAGTTCTCTGTATCCTGGCTTTCAACATGGAATATTTCTTTCTATTACTTCATTTCCCCAGCTAGATGTCTAAGTTACTCATCCTTAATGCTGACTCTCTGGAGAAAGAGGAATTTGTTGAATTGAAGCAAGTAGTGGCCATTCCATCATGGACACAAGAGGCTTCCTTTTTTTAACAGCTTGGTGAAGCAAGACATGAAACTCAATTATATAAAGAAAGACACTGTGTGTCTGCTGTATTTTGCATGTGATATATGAACTATAATCCATATATCAAGAGCACCTTATTAGATGTTCAAGATGGATCACACATGGAAAGAGAAATATACTTTTAAGCTAGTAAGGGGACCTTATACAGGTGGAAAGTCTATGATTCATGATCTGAGATAGTTTTTCAGAGCTAATTAGATGCTACTGGTTCAATTACTTAAAACCTGATCATATATTATTGCTAGCTGAAAAGAAGTTAATGATGGCAAGACATTTTTCTTCTCATGGAAGATGTGACCTGAGCTAAGAAATGATTTATTGTTGGTCATCACAAGAAAAACTTGGAATATATTCCATTATTCTTTCTTGCTTATTAGTAGGAAAATTATTCCCCTCTATCTGAACACATTTCTTCAATGGAGAGAGAATTTCTGCATAGCTATGCTGGACAGTTGCGGGGAGAAGGTGTGTTCCAGAGAACCACCAGCAACCAGGAGATGTCACTCCAATTGCATGCCCTGAGAGACAGTGGATTGGAGAAGGTTCCAGTGGTGTCATGTAAAGGAGCTTTTGGGTAATTTTGGTAACAATTAGTGGCTCAGATGAACTCGATGTGAAGTCTTTTTTTGCCATGGGTCTATGCAGAGAGCTCTCTTGCATTGCAGAGTTCTCTTCAGTCCAATGGGGAGTAATTTTGTGCAGTTGAAGGGCGTTCTGCCATACATTGGTCCTTAATTTCATGTGGTTTCCTGAGGGATGGCTGGAAATGTGAGTGGCATGGTGTGTGGGTAAGAGTGTGAGTGAACTCTAAACAGCCTCCTAGAAAATCCATGTGTTTGGAATTTGGCAGGGGAGGAGGGTGCTGCTTCTGTTTCCTAAACATGCCCAACACCAACCGTGAAGAAATGATAGATTTTGGTTTATTGTCTTCAAATCTGGGTGCTGTGCTGTTCATGTTTAGCTGGTGGCCAGGTGAGTTATTGAAATGCTACAGCAAGACCAACTACTAATTTTTAGCACAATCTCTTGTTCATGGGGAGTTTGTAAAATGCACCTTTAAAAGCACCATTCATAATGCGTTGTTATGAGCAAGACAAAACTAAAAATCATCCCTGCATGACCTTTTAAATGTACTTTAAGTGCCCAAAGTTACAAGCAGACATTTTATGATGGGATCTTCTGAAATACCAATCTATATTTCCAAACTTATAAATGCATATATATATA